GAAGTAAAACTGACGGAAACCAGAAAATACATTTCCTGGACAGAGCTGTGCCTTAAAATAAGATCATGAGGGAATCCCATGTCTAAACGACAAAAGTCAATTTGGAGAAAATTAAAATAACAGTATAAGACAACCAAAGAAAAGATACTTCTCCAAATTGTTGATTCCCTTAAGGCAAAAAAAAAGGTTTGGACTGAAAGAAAAAAAAAATGGGAAAAGAAAAATAATTTCATCAAACAAATTAAACTTTTTAGAAATAATGAAAAACACTTCTACAGGAAAAATAAAACAAATGGTGATGGTGAGCATGATAAGCAGCCTCCCATGGATGCCAATGAGAGGTTCTGGAAACAGTTGTGGTCTGTACCCAACAACTGTAATGCATGAGAAAGTAACTAGGTCGTTTGTCTGCTACATCTCACCAGATTGCCTGAAAAGTGTTATAAAAAAGTCCAAATTCTAATACATCTCCAGGGCCTGATGGCATTCAAACCGATACTGGAAACTATTTCCCTGTGTCCAAACACCATTACTTCACTGTATCAATTCTCTCGTGGACACAGGTGATGTTCCTCCATGGTTTTGCAAAGGTCGCACAATACTCCTTCCCCAAAAAGGAGACTTGACTGATCCCAAAAACTTCTGCCCTATCACATGTTGAATATACAACAAAAATTATTCACAGGGTTTTTGACAAACCTCGTGTCATCATACTGCTCTGCTAATGATATAATTTACAGAGAGCAGAAGGGAGCAAGAAAGGGATGCTGGGGGTGCAAGGATCAACTTCTTGTACAGAAAATGATTTTGGAAGAGGCTAAAACATATCACCGCAACCTCTCTATATGCTGGATTGACTACAAAAAAGCATACGACACTGTCCCTCATGAATGGATTCTGAAGTCTCTTCATTGTATTGACCTCCCTGAGCGACTACTTGATTTACTAAAGTCTTTAATGAGTTGCTGGTCGACTCAACTTGAGATGTACTCGCAAGGGCAGGTGCAGACTTCGGAATCTATTCCAATCAGAAGGGGAATTTTCCAGGGGAATTTTCCAGGGGCACTCCTTCAGTCCTTTGCTTATTTGTTTGTCTCTAAATCCTTTGAGCTTTCTGCTCAACAGAGTGGAGGGTTACCATCCCAGACCTCCTCAGCACAGATCCCCAACATCGCTTACTCATCTCCTTTACATGGATGACATCGAGCTCCTTGCCAAAGGAGATACCAATTTGAAAGAACAGGTTCTCCTTGTCGAGGCCTTTTCTAATGATATTGGAATGACATTTGGACTCGACAAATGTAATACTCTTCATTTGAAACGTTGCAAGGTAGTTAATTGTGGACCGGTCAAGTTACAGGGGGGAGGAGTTATTGAGCATCTTGTGGAAGATCAGGCCAACACCTATCTTGGAATGCAAGTTCGAGGCAAGCTCCCGAGTGCCCAAATTCAAGACAAACTTCGGGCTGAGTACAAATCTCACTTAAAGAAAATCTGGAGTTCAGAGCTAAATGCTCAAAATAAGGTCAAAGCTACCAATACTTTTGCTGTGCTAGTCCTTTCCTATTCTTTTGGAGTAGTTCATTGGACAAAACAAGATATCCAGAGTCTTGACCGCCTGACCAGAAGGATCATGTCTGATAACAGAGCCCACCACCCTCGTTCTTCTCTTAACCGTTTATATATGCCCATCAATTCTGGAGGTCGGGGTTTGATTAATGTGGAGGCTCTTCATGATAGAATTTTATTGTGTACTTTTGCACATATTTATCTATCGGATGATCCTCTGGTGATGCATGTCAAGACTCACGATGAAAGCAAGGAATTCCACAGCTATTTTAAGCGTGCCAAGGTTGTTGGACACAATCTGAAATTTGATGTTGATTTTGTTGATGGCAATGTACTGCTGGACGGTACAGCGATGGGAGTAAACCAGGTGAAGTCATTCACCAAGTCTGCCCAGAGTCGGTCTTTTGTGGAGAAGCTTTCTGAGAAGCCATTGCATTTTGTGTACATGCAGTGTGTGGAACAGAACAGCAATCCCATTGGCTCCTTCGCATGGATGAAGTCGGCTGGTCTTAAATGTGAAACTGAGGGCTTTCTTTTGCTGCTCAGGACCAGTCACTTCCCACTCGCAATTGCCAGAATGTGATTCTTAAAGAAAAAATTAACATGAAATGTCGACTTTGCAATGAATTCACAGACTGTGAAACAGCATATCTTAAACGACATGATGGCATGGCTGGTTGCTTTTACTACAGTCTTCACCATGCCTGTTGCTTTGACTCCGAGGTCCATCCATGGTTCGACCCTGAACATGTCCAGGGCATCATGGAAAATGATGATTTCAAACTTCTGTGAATAGGCCCATATACAGCCTCAGAAGAATTCCTGCCAACAAACCTGATCTTGTCCTTTTTGATAAAGTCAATGAATTTATTTATATCATTGAAGTTTGTGTCCCTTTTGACAGTAATGTAATTGGCAAGATTCAGGAAAAGCATGCTAAGTATGCGGACCTCGCTATTGAAATGTCTCGCTTGCATCTCAAGTACACTGTCATCAGGCTCCCCATTGTTCTCGGTGCCCTTGGTTTGGTACTTCCTGATCTCTTGGCGCAGATCAGGAGAGTGCCCGGGTTCTCCACTGGGAGTACAGCCCTTCTGACACTGGGTAATGCAAAAGGCTGCAGTGTTGGGGAGCCTTCATATTCTCCGGAAAGTTCTTGCTGGGTTCGACTAGGCAGTGTTTCCTGGGAGAAGTCCCATTCACTGTCTGGGCTGTGTGTAGAGGGGGCAAGGGCCCTGAGCTGATGATGAGCCTTACCAGCCTGACTGTCCCAGGATCACCCGAACCCTCTCTGCTGCATATTATCTTTAATCGTAAACATAATAATAATAATATTTTGCCTCCTTTGTAGCAAAATCTTTAGTCGGATTTTCCGTACGTAATTTACTGAGCTTTTGCCTTTGGTTGTATGTCAGGTCATATGCTACGCCGTGTCCCATTTCTCTTTGGGTTTCTCTTAATCAATCTCTTTGCATTTTGTCCTCCCAATAACACAATTTTACAATAAGTGGGTGTGATTTATGTCATTTTTTACAGAAATTCTGTGGGCGCTTTCAATGTCTGTATGTTGTAGCGGCACTTTCTTGACCTTGTCCCTAGCTTTGTTTATGATGTCTATTGATGGTTATACGATATTTATATAGCGCACATATCCAGGCAAATAGTGCTTGCTCAAGGTGCTGGTATTTTTTCCCCTCGATCATTGGATGTCAATCTCAACGGCACATCATGTTTTCAATCTCAACTCCCTGGGGAGTATGCAACTCTTGCAGCCACTAGGAGCACCAAGTTATTGCGGCTTTCTCATCCTAACGAGGTACCCATTCACAGCTGGGTGGACTGGGACACATAGTCACAGTACTTTGTCCAAGTTCACTGCACGTTGCTGTACCAGCAACTGGGTGTTTGTACGTATTCATGTGGCCACCATCTGGTCATATATCAACGGATTCGTGGGTTCTGTTAAGTGCACAGGGTTGTGTACTGTACACAAGGGGTTGTGAAAACACTGAAAGAGTCTGCACACAAAGTTGACTTCAAGATTTTTACACCCGGTCACAGGTGGGCTCAATCCCGACACTTCAACCTCGCTGGATCACTAGCCTGGCACCTTAGCCAGTTCGCCCACCGCACCCCTTGCTTTCTTCTACATGTATTGTAGGACTCATTCCCACTCTCAGTGCACACCGTATATGATGAGGTTATTCCTTCTACTTCGCCTCTCTTGGTTTTCGACCACATCATTGATACTATCAAAACAACTCTCAATGTTGTCCACTCACTCATTCATAGCATCTATATCAAGTCTTAGGATAGCTTGTTCTTCTTTCTGATGATCAATCTCGTTTTTAATAACGCGTACCTCTTCTTTCCTCCTTCACTAAAGTAATATCTTTTGATATTCTGTCTTCAGAATCCTTGATCTGTTGTATGATTCTTGCTTTAAGATCGGATAGGTCATCACCGATGGGTCCCGGATTGATGTCTCCTGCTAAGTGTAGTAAGCTGACCGGTTGTCTTCTGAAGTCATGTGTGTAGTTCAGTTTTTGTGAAGTAAAAAAGTTCCCTTTTCAAAGTAATTTATGCAAATCTCACCAGCACACAAGTGGATGGTGGTCCATCGTAGACAGAGTGTAATCCATGGTTGATCTAGTGACTGACCCTAAGGACCTTAATGTAAGCAGAAGTGTATTGATCAGTCATAATGATCTTCAAATTTTCTGTAAATGGGGACAAATGGCTGCCTACTGGACCCTGAAATACCTTGACCTGAAAGCCTGGCTTCTGTCTCTGATATGAGATGAGTGTCGTCACTGTTGCTGTTTTAAGGACTGGACTTTGGAAACTTCCTCATAACTATATCCCGTGGCCAATACATCAGTTGTAATCATGATAGGCATCACCAGTTGTTTCTTTGCCAACTGTTTATCTTGCCCTTTCTTCATTGCCATAGCATATCTTTCAAAGGCTGCTGGTGATAAAGATGAGCAGACGTCGTATCTGGTGACGAAGGAACATGACGAAACTACGCACTCCCAACATTGATCATGGGGAGTGCTACATTTAACACAGTTTTTCGTGCCCAAAGGGAGGAAGAGATATAATTAGTGGCCTTCGATTTACCCAACATGTAAGCACTTGTGAACATGTATGTCAAAGGAAAAATTATGACAGAGCTTGGCAAGACCACTAGGAAGAAAGACAATACAACTCAATAGATTTTACAATTTTTATTCAATTAAACCTGTGGATCAGAAACAAGTTTCAGGAAAAAGGCAAATCAAGTGTTAGAGGGATGTCTTCGTTAGAATTTTGAATTGTGTTATATTAAATGATTTGATCAAATCTTAAAGTTTCAAGCTCATCAATGGACTGACAATTTTCCATGCCATTGCACCTTTAGCTCTGCTTAGCTACAAATTTTCACTGACCTTCCAATTCTTCAGAATACCTATTCGTGGAGTTGTCACAGTGTCTGACAATACATTGGAGTCCCAGTCACTGTCATCATCACTCTTCACTGGAGGCTTTTTTTTATCACAAGACATTTCACTGATGTCAGCTTCACTGATGTCATCAGCATCACTTATTCCAAGCTCTTCCATGAAGGCTGAAAAAGTAATTTGATGCATGATCAATTAGGCTGAACAAATGTGGAAGCATAATCATATATACCAAAGGTACAACAAAACATCAATATTTGGCCAATACCAATTTCTTTTCATAAACCTTTAAAGCTTAACAATCACAACACAATACCTTATGACATGCTTTTTCAACATTTGTTACAGATGAACACTGGCAAAACAATGCCAAGTGACATTAGACTGTTGCTGGGGTCATCAAGTGTGCATAAGCTTCACTCAGTCATATATACTACTGGAATGAAGTAACTGTGCATTATTTAATGTGGGGGAGCCTTGTGGTTAAAGTGTTCACTCGTGACACCAAAGACCCCGGTGTAGCAGCCCATTTCTTCCCCAGTCTAGATTTTCCCCGGGGAGAATCTGGCCTAGGCCAAACTCTCCCGGAGGAAGTTTTGTCCTAGGATATTCTTACCCCAGGGAAAGTTTGGGCTTGGTTAAAGTTTCCCCCCTAGGCCAAAGTTTCCCCCCTGTTTAAACTAGGATATTTTTTTCTGTTTTCTATGAAAAGGGGAGAGATTCTAGCCTAGCTAGCCGCTTCTTCCCCACCCTTGCTCTTATATCAAAAGGGGGAGATTCTTGCCTAGCTAGGCTACTTCTTATCCACTCTTGTTCTTATATCAAAAGGGGGAGATTCTGGCCTAGCAAGGCTACTTCTTACCCACCCTTGTTTTTAAATCAAAAGAGGGAGATTCTGGCCTAGCTAGGCTACTTCTTCCCCACCATTGCTCTTATATCAAAAAGAGGGAGAACAAGTTATTACAAACATCAAACCAACAGTAGTTTCGACTTCAATTTTGGTACACATTTTTGCTAAATACTCCATTCTTGCCTCTGACTTGGGTAAGTGATTTGAATGCATACATGTTTGAATGGCATATATCTCTAAATCCATCATGCTCCTGCTGCCATTCCTATGAAGACACATTGCATTAGGTCTTCATCTGTCCAAATCATGTCACCATAAGATGTAAACATTCAATCGCACATTTGATGGGTAAATAAGATGTAATATACAGACTTTGCTTGCTCTCTTATCATGCTGTTTATTATCTAATATTTGGTGTATTTATGTATGAATGTAATTGAGTGAGTTGAGTTTTACGCCGCACCAAGCAATATTCCAGCTATATGGCGGCAATCTGTAAATAATCGAGTAGACAATCGATAATGGACTAGACAATCCAGTGATCAACAACATGAGCATCGATCTGCGCAATTGGGAACCGATGACATGTGTCAACCAAGTCAGCGAGCCTGACCACCCGATCCCGTTAGTCTCCTCTTACGACAAGCATGGGTTACTGAAGATCAATATTCTAACCCGGACCTTCACGGGTTTAATGTAATGGAACATTATTCACATAAGCTTGTTTACTAATCCATAATTACTTTTGGTGAATGAAATATGTTTCAGATATATGTTGTGGTCAAGGTGTGATTTGACTGTGAAATCATTGCGCTCGTGTAAAATATTTTGACAGTTGCATTGTTTCATTTTCATCTCCTGGACATGTATAATTTCTGTGCCTGTCCCAGCAGGTTGCACCTGGTGCAAGAAACTTTCTAATCTTAATAAGTTCTAGCTCATGATTATTTAATCATTATTGATATATAGGAAGATAAATGATGCAAACGATTCATACTTTGTTTCATGACAACATATGCATCATTAACTGTATATACATGCTCTTACATACTTTTGATACTTTGCTTTTATGCTTGCTTTTCTCTTTAATCTCACCTTATGTAAGGGTACTGAAACAAAATGTGAACCATGTACATGTTATATATGAAGATGACCTGTAAATTGTTAATTGAACTTGACATCAACATGAATATCTTATCAATGTGTTCATGTGAATAGCTATGTCTTGTTTTCATTTCTGACCTTTTCAAGACGAACATAAACATGAAAACAAGGTTGGGAAAGAAACAGCCTAGCTAGGCAAGAATCTCTCCCTTTTGATAAAAGAATAAGGGTGGGAAAGAAGTAGCCTTTAAAGTTGATAGAAGGGTGGGGAAAGTTGGAGAGATGTGGCGTCATATTCAGTATTGTGTGTGTCCACCATTGACGTTGATTATGGCTTGACAACGCATAGATGACACTAAGCGACTGAAGAAAGCTTGGGGAATGTTGCTCCATGTCTGAACCAAAGCTTATCCCAATTCAGCTAACGTCAATGGCTGATTCTGCGCTTGATGTAAATATCGCTCCATTTTATCTCAAGCGTGCAGGTCCGGAGAAAACTGGCCAGGGGAGTACCAGAATGTTCTGCTGTCTCAGGAAATCAATGACAAGTGTCTGACCATGAGATGTGATGTCCCCCCCATACCATAACACTGCTTCCACCAAATTGTCAGCATACCCGGCCATCTGTACACCCTTGCCCTGCCATCTGAGCTGTCCAGATGAAATCTCAACTCATCAGTGAACAAACCACCATCCAAATCTTGTCTCCTGTACCGTAGATGCCATCTGCACCAGGCAAAATGTGCCTGTCAGTGTTAGGAAGTATTACAGGACATTGACGTCACACACGTGGATGGCTGGTTAGGTCCCATACTGCCTACAGTTCCAAACTGCCTACATCTCAGTGTCTCGAGTGTATAGTCCTCCCTCTACCGGCACAGAAGCAAAGTCCTACCAAACCTACCCAAGTCTCTAGCTGATGTTCAACTCGAGGACCATGGACTCAGACAAAAGATGGACAGCTTATGCTTCAGAGGACATGCTAAACATGCTCCACTGCTGACAAGTGGTATATGGATGGAACTTTCTATGTTGCACCAGCCCTATGGGACCACCTGTATGTCATTCACTGTATGGTGAATGGGAATATGAATCCATGCATGCATGCACTGTTGCCAAATCATACAAGGGCTACCTATGTCAGACTATTCTTGTTGTTGAATGATGTTGTTAGGAACAAAGTAGGGGTTGGTTGAACTTGCACTCAGTGAAATCCAGATAGACTTTGAGGTGTCAGCCATCAGGGCATTGGAGGAAATCTATGAGGAGTGTGAGGTGAGTGGATGCTTCTTCCACTTCACTCAGGCTGTTTGGCAAAATGTCGCTGAGAAAGGACTGACAAACGATTACAAGGACATCCCACAGGTGCAGGCCCATGTCAGGAGAGCAGCTGCCCTTCCACTACTTCCATGGGACATGGTGCAGGACACTTGGATTGCTGCCATGGACGAAGGTCCAGAGTCAGAGAAGGTCAGGAACTTCAAAGACTACGTCACACGAGTACATGGGTGGAATATGTGGCACGTTTTACGGTACGGATCTGGACGCAGTACGGAAACATTGGACGGAGGACTAATAACCACCTCGAGGGGTGGCACCTGAAGCTGAAAAGCCTTATTGCCAAAGCCCACCCAAACATCTACCTCTTCATCTCCAACATCAAGAAAACCGAAGCCATAGACAAAGCTAAATGTGCTCAGCTTGACTATGGGGTCCTTCCCAAGTCACGCAAGTGTGTTTACAGAGAGATCGATGCCAGACTTCTGAGACTGAAGGAGCACCTCCAGAGCGGCAGAAAAACGACTCTTCAGTACCTAGATGCTGCTGGACATCTCATCACTTTTGCTAAGTGATTGTCAGTTGTGTGTAAATGTGAAACCAGTAAAAGACTGTAAAACCACTGAAAGACTGTAAAACCACTGAAAGACTGTAAAACTTTTCAATTTTTCATGATATATCCATGTCTCCATGTAAAGACTGAGAATTCTCAGAATGAATAAAGATGTCTTACCAACCAACACTTGTCATTTTTTCTGTCAACTTCTGTGGGCACAGTCGGAAGACACCATAGAACAGATCAGTTCATTAACCAAGTAACTGGTCAAGTTCATTTTAGCAGGGGTAAACAGGGTCAGATCAGTGTATTCCCATTAACTGCACTTCCTGATCACTGGATCGTATCATGTTGTTTTAACCTGCAGGCAGTTTGGAACTGTAGGCAGTATGGGAATACACCGAATGGCAGGTCCAAGGCAAATCTCTCATGTTCCCATTATGTTGAAAGTGTCTCCAGAGACATGAGATTGTATTTCAATGGACACCAAATGTCTGGCAACTTCATTTTGGGCCATTCCAGTCTCCAGCATACCCACAGTGCGGAGACACTGATTTTCTGTTGATATGTTATTTCAATACTCACTACCACTGAATAGGCCTAGTGATGTTGAGAGTTTTCAATATTTCTTTGCTAAATATAGCCTGTGTCAGCTCATTTTAAAGCAATTGCAAATTTACGAAAACACTTCAATTTGAAATATATACTAGGCACATAAAGAAACTGTGCATACAAAAATGTAAAATCTAAATTTATCAAACCTGTGGAGACACATAAGGATTTAAACTCAGAGATTAGTGACATGTATCCAACATGCATGCACGTGCCACGTTCCGTGACGTCAGTGGGTTCGTCCTTGAGACGTGCAATACGTTGTTGCACGTGCATTCAGGGAAAGAGAAACAGAGCAAATGAATGCCACACAATACTGTCAATTAAACGGCTATTGAAACGCATAGCATGCCAAGGCTCACGTCTGCACAACGTCATGAGGCCATTGGGATGGTCCGTGGGGGAATGTCTCAACGACAAGTGGCTGCACATTTCCACTGCCACCGGAACACCATTTCTGCACTGGTGAGACGCTACCAGAACACAAATGACGTCATCAATCGGCCACGTTCTGGACGTCCATGTGTAACAACGCCAAGACAGGACATATGGATAAGGGTGACCCATCTTTGCCACAGGTTTCAGACTGCAGTGATGACTGCCCGAACCATCCCAGGACTTCGCCGTATCCACCCCAACACAGTTCGACAACGTTTACGTCATCATGGGATCAGACCACGACGTCCCGCCATACGGCCTATCCTGACACAACGTCATCGACAAGCTCGCCAAATGTGGTGCCGAAATCATGTCCGCAGACCCTTGTT